CGGGTTACTGAGGCATTTGTAAGTGGTGGACAGGTGATAGGGAGATACATCTGTTACAACTAAGACACAAAGCTAAATATCCCGCCAATTTTATCTGAATTGGATTATGCTGCGATTTGACCCTCCACCTAATAGGTTCCGCCAGTCAAACCACAAACAATCTGATACTGTTGGCTGGTCAGTGTTATGGCCTTTAATTTGTTCTCTCGCTGTGTTTGTGTCCAGTAATTGGTTTTACAGGCAATACAGGTTAGTGTGACCGCAAGGTGCCCCCTCCTGATGGCCGTTGCTCGTCTTCTTGCGTGCTCAGCCTGCCACCTTGGCGTACGACTATTACTGTCACTGATAGCAAGGCTCTTTGTGATTGCTCATTCATTTGCACGAACGACAACTTCCGATGTCAAACCTCGGCGCTCAAAAAAACCACCGTTGACGTTCTGATTACCTTTTCCACCTGTCATTTTCCGACTGAAATAAAATGTAGTACGCGTGCCTCACCTTTTATATACATTTCTAATTGATCATAGACCATACAATATGAATATTTCAAAGGCAAGATTAAGCTTTGATGGGCACAGAACGAGAAATGGGACTTTTCACTGACGTGAGCATGCATTCGGACGAAAGGATCCATTGTTGAGATAACTTAGTCGGCTATTATGTAAACACACAGGCAACATACGTGCTAAGTTGTGAATTTTTAGTTCCATTTGTTGAGTCCACGTTTATTAACCTTATCCAAGTCAGGAAGTGGATGATTGGTTGTGGGAGAAAAAAAACCCACCCATGAATTAATTTGTGCTAGTCAGTAGCGACCATCTGCCGAGCTTTCAGTCTACCCGAGAATATTCTATATCTGGAGAATGCGGGTTTATGGCGATAGCTTATTTATTAGGTTTACTCCAACCCTTTTGTCACCTTTGTCGCTATAGTTTGTATTAGCTCTGATTCTCAAAAACAACTTGATACAGAATAGTAGTTATTTTATGGGAGACCAATCTCGCCCGCATCCGACCGTATCTGCTTTATAAGTTATAATAGCACTCGTATCTCAATTCGAACTCCAGAATGCGGAACAAAATCCCTTTGGCACACTTCATACATGGACAAAAATAAACGTGAGGTTTTGGAGCTTGGTGAATCCCATCATCCTAGTCTGCGAAGACAAGCTCACACGCTAACGCGTACGTGTACAAACACACATACCCCCAACACACACGATCACATCAGGACCCTCCCTACACATGTATCACACGCTGAGCCTTTATTAATCCGTAAAATGTATAATTCCGATTGGGTATTTTATTGGACGCCGATGAGTCACGATCAATGGGGTTTCATTTTACAAATCCAAAATTCTGAAATTATCAGTCAGGCAGACTTGGCCTACTGTTTAAAAGAATGATATACCACTCACCGGTAAAACCTGCTATATCGTGAATTAGTCTCATTATTTATTTACAGCTGTTAATCTCGAACATTCATCGACAGAGGTAACTTATCTACATATTCGAAACCGTCATTTGCCATCGGTTTATTGGTGTTTGACACGAATTTTTATTATATATATATTTCATTCCAACTAAATAAAAACAACAACGTTTGATCTGAAGAATTTAAATTATGAATTATAATGACGTTGACGAGGAAGGCCACATTATACAGCCACCTGGGATATTCATTATTGAATAACCGACTCTCTGTGACCTCGACCGTGATCTTAGCTTGGCGCAATCAGCATCAGCACCTCACCATAGCGACCTACACAGAGAGATAAATGAATGATACAACTCTCGCCAAGTATCGTTCTGTTAGTACTACTCACGTGACACAAGGACACGATACTCAAAAGTGTGAGGTCGGGATTTTTGAGGAAAAAATGATTGGGACTTTCATATGGTTACTTAAAAAACTTCTACTTTATTGTAATAAACAATAACAGACAAAAACTTCTACTTTATTGTAATAAACAATAACAGACAAAAACTTCTACTTTATTGTAATAAACAATAACAGACAAAAACTTCTACTTTATTGTAATAAACAATAACAGACAAAAACTTCTACTTTATTGTAATAAACAATAACAGACAAAAACTTCTACTTTATTGTAATAAACAATAACAGACAAAAACTTCTACTTTATTGTAATAAACAATAACAGACAAAAACTTCTACTTTATTGTAATAAACAATAACAGACAAAAACTTCTACTTTATTGTAATAAACAATAACAGACAAAAACTTCTACTTTATTGTAATAAACAATAACAGACAAAAACTTCTACTTTATTGTAATAAACAATAACAGACAAAAACTTCTACTTTATTGTAATAAACAATAACAGACAAAAACTTCAAAGCCATGAAAACAAAAGTTTATTGAAAATTAATATATCGGTTTCTGGGGGAAAATAAGTCTGAAATTTACACTAATTTGAGCTCGAGTGTCTTTTTTCTCGAAGAATCAACCGCACTTGTATGGCAAACCAAACCACATTTCAAACAAACTGTCAGAAACTATATGACCTTATTGTTTTATATTTATATCTAGAACCTATATGACGATACTGTTTCTAATTTACTTTTAGTTTCGTATTTACCTTCAGAACCTGTAGGGACGGCGTTGCGGTTTCTGATTTACTTTCATATATATGTTCAACTGTGCGATTTATAAGCAACTTGCTGCATTTTACGGCATTGGTGATTTGGATTTACCTTCAGAAACAATATCCGACGTTTCGGATTTTCAGAACCTAAACGTCGTCGTATCAGCATAACCTTCAGAATCTATACGACGTTGTGTTTTCAGATTCTGTATCGTTTGAAACAATGCGTTGAATGCTGTAAAGTTAGTCCTGACTCCTGATAACTATCGACCCCTGACCCCTGAGCATTGTTAACCCCTGACCCCCGATCACTGTCGACCCCTGACTCCTGATCACTGTTGACCCCTGACCCCTGATAACTGTCGACCCCTAACTCCTGATCACTGTCTACCCCTGACCCCTGATCACTGTCGACCCCTGACCCCTGATCACTGTTGACCCCTGTCCCCTGATCACTGTTGATCCCTGACCCCTGATCACTGTCGACCCCTGACCCCTGATCACTGTCGACCCCTGACTCCTGATCACTGTCGACCCCTGACTCCTGATAACTATCGACCCCTGACCCCTGATCACTATCGACCCCTGTTCACCGTTTTATACCATGAGCTAAATAGGGAATGAAAAGAGTGTAATATTCCGATACATTTGGTAGGTACAGATGGAGCCAGGCCTCCGACTACAATGTGATTACCCCAGTATACCTCACCTCTCCTGTTAAATCAGAAAACGATCAATGACTGATTTTATTACATAATTAGTATTGACAATACTTGTGGGCTAAGTTTGACAGAAGAAGGAATAATTAAATACACCAAATCAAAATTTGGAACCGATCACTTGTAAAACATGTTATCATTGACGGAATGAGTAACTTCATAATCAGAAAACGTCGATTTGTGTTAGTACTCTTTGAGGCTAAGGTGTAAACTGTAGCGGACGGCTTATACACACCGTGATCTTAGGAAAGTCTCTTAGACAATCCACGTTTGTACATGTAGAAGTTCACGGTTCTAAACTTAGAACAAGGCTTATCTATCTATAATTAGAGTATACTTTAAATGAACTGTTTTGCTGGAATTCAGAAGATACTCCGCACGGTTTAGTGTCATGGGAATCTTTCTTTATAGATAAGCTGGTACAAGATAGCTGGTGTAGACCAAACATGGGGAGGGGGAGGGGAGGAGAAGGGGAGGGGAG